GCTTATGCTCTAATAAATTTGTTAGTCTCTAAGGTGCCACAAGTACTCTTGTTCTTTTTACCTGCCAACATTGGTGTTCAAAGGTCATTGCTTCCCCAGCTACAGCTGATAACGTCACTATCACTTATGCATTGTAAGGAATACAAAGTCTTGCACTGGCTTAGTGCCTGTGACATAATATTTTTCCCTTTGTGTATTTAGTACCTTTCAACCAAAGATCACTAGCACTTTACAAAGGAAGGTAGGTATTATCCCCATTTTACAGATATGGAAAATGAGTCGGTTTAAGTGACTTACCCAAGCTCACAGCAATACAGTGACACATCTGGGAATAGAACCTAGGAATCTTGCTACTTGTTCGCCTGCTGTAATCACACCATGCATTTACAGCCTTCCAAGTGATCCACCTTTCCAGGAGAATCACAGAGTCCTAAAGTCAGGTCTTGGTAAGTGAAGCTTTAGTGCATTGTGACAGCAGACATTTGGGTGTAGGAAACAATTTGGGGGATCATTTTTATATATAGGGCACCATTTTCATCTACATTTAATCTTTTATGTGACCTTTTATCCTTGGTTGGCCTGCTCCTTTCCTTGATTTGATAAACATTACCCTTTTACTTGACTTTAGAAGGACATTCACTTGATATGTAATATCCAATTTTGGACACAGAGGGCCAGTGTGGTGCTTTAGGAACACTGTAATGCACTGAAACACAGGGGTGCATGTTTGGTGCCTGGCTCCCTGGATCAACAAGGACTGGGACCCCTGTAGATAGCTCATGCGGAAGTTGGAACAGGTGCGGGGAAATCAAGAGAGCACACCACCACACTCTCCATTGACCCCTCCTTTTGGCTGTTATTTAAATAAGCACTGAAAGAGATCCCCTCTGCCAAGAGTTTCCACCTGACTTAAAGCCAGATTCTGTGATGTGTCAGCCAGGCATAGTGGGAAGGAGCACAAGTGGCTTTACCTGACTTTTGCACCTCTGGGATTTTGGATGGTTTGGGGGCTGCTGTAAATCAGAGCAGCTCCAAGGCTGCTGTAACTTACATTGCCTGCAGCGGCTCCCTATGAATTGTCAGGGAGGCTAGGATAGTCAGTACCCAGAGTGCGCCATCTCTAATCCTTCCTACTCCCTTAGGCTGGGAGCTGCATGGAGAATGGAGATAACAGGGCATTGTTATCTCATTTGGGGAACCACCCTCCCCAGAGACCCGATGGAGCTTTGCTAGAAAGGGTCTGCGCACTGGAGCCCAGAATCTGGGCCTCACAGTTTTGGGTGGGAAGATTGGGGAATGGAAGTATCACAGAGGATCTCCCTCCCTCCCAGCAATTCTGGAAACTCGTATATAAGAAACATAAGTAAGGCAGTGATACTGTCATGGAGGTCACAGATTCCATTACTTTCCGGGACCTCCAGGACTTCTTCTGGGGCAGGGCTGGAGCAGCTGTCAGCCTTGGGGCTGCTCAAACCGCAGCTGCCGGAAAAGTTGACCAGTGGCTAACCCCAGGGCCGCTGGAACAGCTGACCGGCAGCCAGCCGGAGTTGGGTCAGCCCCCCAGGAACAGTGGCGGAGCTGGAGCAGCTGCAAATCCCAACAGCATTGTGTGTCGTGGCCTTCTGTGACTTTTACTAAAAATACCCATGACAAAATCTTAGCCTTAAATCTAAGATATTAGTAAAACAAAGTAAGAATGTGTAAGGTGCTCAGACGCAAGGGTGATGAGTGCAGGTTGGGTAGGCAGATGTAATAAACAGAGCAGCTGGGTGAACTCTCCTAGAACAAAGCCCAAGGGGAGCAGTTACATGTAGAGTTCTGGCAACTACCAAGGAGCATCAAGAGAACATGGCTCATGGCACAACACCGATTAACCACTTTGCTCCCATAGAAACATCTCTCAGCTCCTGCAGTGCTGATCTAAGATTTATTCTGCCAGGATCCTGCCTTAATCAGCACCCTGTGGTTAGTCTGTATTATTGGATTATCAGACTGTATAGATAATTTCTGGTTTTGCTCTAGATTAAGGCTTCAGACAGAAGCATCCCCACTCTGCATCTGCAAAACCAAATGTCTACCACCAAAAGGTACTGTCCCCACAAGCTGCAATGTAAAAGCACCCTTTCCCTCTGCATATGAGTATGTATTGCCCCCTATGAAAACAACAAGGAGTCTGGTGGCACCTTAAAGACTAACAGATTTATTTGGGCATAAGCTTTCGTGAGCTTCTTCGGAAGTGAGGTTTTTACTCACGAAAGCTTATGCCCAAATAAATCTGTTAGTCTTTAAGGTGCCACCAGACTCCTTGTTGTTTTTGTAGATACAGACTAACACGGCTACCCCCTGATACTTGGCCCCTATGAAGTAACCCTACTGAAGGCAATACAGATACTGGACCACAAAAATGTTCTTTTCAATACATTAGTGACCTAATTCTCATCTCACTTACACTAACTTTATATCAGCATGACTCCATTGACTTCAGTGGACTGAATTACAATGGTTTGAAAACAGAAACAGGTCTTGGTCTTTGCAGCCAACCTTCTTGTAAGAAATCAATCTGCAATTCCTTACAGAAAAATGGGGAAAGGGACAACATTCAAAGTTTGTTTTGAGTAAATGCTGGTAACTCTGAACAGACACTTTGGGCCAGGCTCTGAACTCAGTTGCAGTTATGCGTAAATTGATTTCAGGGGAATCACCCCAGATTAAGATCGGTGTGACTGAGATCAGAATTTGTCTCTCGGTTATTAAATCATCAGAAAAAGTTTCTAATACTTGACCTTCCTCTACCACAACTGGTGGCAAAGCCAGAATATTTCCTCTATAATATTTAAGAATTCACAATGCTGCACTTTCAGATTTTGGTTAGTTTTCAAGTTCCCCTAGATGAAGGACACCATAGTCTGATCTCACTTGCACTGGTGCAATTCAGGAGTAACTTCCGTGAAGACACTAGAGCAGGGGTCGGCAACCTTTCAGAAGTGATGTGCCGAGTCTTCATTTATTCACTCTAATTTAAGGTTTCGCGTGCCAGTAATACATCTTAACGTTTTTAGAAGGCCTCTTTCTATAAGTCTATAATATATAACTAAACTTGTCATAACTATAAAGGGAAGGGTAACAATACTATAATCCCTCCTGGCCAGAGACACCAAAATCCTTTTACCTGTAAAGGGTTAAGAAACTCAGGTAACCTGGCTGACACCTGACCCAAAGGACCAATAAGGGGACAAGATACTTTCAAATTTTGGTGGGGGGAAGGCTTTTGTTTGTGCTCTTTGTTTTGGGGGGTTGTTCGCTCTTGGGACTAAGAGGGACCAGACATCAATCCAGGCTCTCCAAATCTTTCTGAACAAGTCTCTCATATTTCAAACTTGTAAGTAACAGCCAGGCAAGGCGTGTTAGTTTTGTCTTTGTTTTCTCAACTTGTAAATGTTCCTTTTGCTAGAGTGTTTACCTCTGTTTGCTGTAACTTTGAACCTAAGGCTAGAGGGGGTTCCTCTGAGCTCTTTGAATTTGATTACCCTGTAAAGTTATTTTCCATCCTGATTTTACAGAGATGATTTTTACCTTTCTTTCTTTAATTAAAAGCCTTCTTTTTAAGAACCTGATTGATTTTTCCTTGTTTTAAGATCCAAGGGGATTGGATCTGGACTCACCAGGAATTGGTGGGGGGAAAGGGTAGGGAGGGAATGATTAATTCCTCCTTGTTTTAAGATCCAAGGGGATTGGATCTGGACTCACCAGGAATTGGTGGGGGGAAAGGGTAGGGAGGGAATGATTAATTCCTCCTTGTTTTAAGATCCAAGGGGATTGGATCTGGACTCACCAGGAATTGGTGGGGGGAAAGGGTAGGGGGGGAATGATTAATTCCTCCTTGTTTTAAGATCCAAGGGGTTTGGATCGGTGTTCACCAGGGAATTGGAGGAGGAGTCTCTCAAGGCTACCCAGGGAAGGGAGAGTTAGCACTTGGGAGTGGTGGCAGCAAAACCAGATCTAAGCTGGTAGGTAAGCTTAGAAGTTTTCATGCAGATCCCCACATCTGTACCCTAAAGTTCAGAGTGGGGAAGGAACCTTGACAAAACTATTGTTGTATGTAAAGTAAATAAAGGTTTTAAAAATGTTTAAGAAGCTTCTTTTAAAATTAAATTAAAATGCAGAGCTCCCCGGACCGGTGGCCAGGACCCAGGCAGTGTGAGTGCCACTGAAAATCAGCTCACGTGCCGCCTTCGGCACGCATGCCATAGGTTGCCTACCCCTGCACTAGAGTAAACCTAAAGTAAGAAAGATCAGAATCAGGTCCAGATATGTTAGGCATTAAGGAAGAGATGGAGATGAGTTACTCTAGGCCTATCATTTTCCAGTGGTTTATTTGCTGAGGGTGGAACTTTCAAAAGCACTTAGCACTGGGCCTAACTCTGCTTCCATTACTTCAAATGGGAATGATATGTCAATGCCAAGTGATTCTGGAAGATCCCACCCTAAATGCCTAAAGAGGGGTAAGCCATTCAAAGCTATCAAAACTGCAAACTGAGGTAAATATAATATCAAAATGGTCCAAACACATCATTGGTGTAAGTCTACGGAAATCATTGATGAATTTGGCCCAATATGTTTAGCAGAGGATAATGCAAGTCCAGAATACACAGAGGGAGAAGACTGGGTAGATAGGAATATATATTACTTGCATAGGACATCACTGAACATTTTTAGAAAGAGGATACAGATGGATTAAAGGGGCTGGGTGCAAAATTATTTGGCTTCCCCCCTCCAGTTAAATCACTGCCCTTTCCATGCCCACTGGAATAGTTCAGCAGGCTAGACTCCTATGGACCGAAAGGAAATGTATGTAGCTTTCACTGTGCAAACAAAAATCGAACGTAGCCCACTTGCAGCCAGGGATGGGAATTAAGCAGCACCCCCGGGCCTCAAAAAAATAAAAATAAAAATAAACCCAATTCCAGAGACAGGTACATGAATTTATCAAAAGACTAGCAGATAAATAAATTTATATTTAAAAAAAGGCAAAGGAGATATCCATAGGTTTTGGGGTAGAGTAAGAGTTGCCTCCTGAGCCCACATGCGCTCACTTTATTTACATATCCACAAACACCATGAAACACCAGCCCAGCCCCCCCACTAGCAGCATGGTCACGTGAATTCCATAGATGAGCAGTTCATTCATGAGGCTGAAGTCCACCCGCCTTCGCCCCAACAAGAGGAGGATGATGGAGAGTTTGTACTGGAAACGCAGAAAGATCCGGATGCCCAGGTACTGAAGGCAAAACAAGATAGAGAGCGCCACCCAGAGGATGGAGGTAAACAGGCTGCAGCTGAAGTACAGCAGGAAACGAATGAATCCGTACATCCATCGGGATTTCAGATAGATGTCGAAGTTGTTGTACTTGGTGCGCACCAAGTGAGTGGTCCTTACTGGGCCACAGGCTGAATGCAGACATGTTGTGTGGGGGCCGTGGAAAGAACGGACACGGCGGGGAATGGGGATTACAGGCATCAGGCACCCCACAGTTCACAGAGTCCCAGAGCAGGATTTGCAGTGCGCATACCAAATGTCATCCATTAATATGGAAAAGATTCAGCAACCTATGAATGCAAACTTTCTGCTGAATTTCCAGGAAGGAACAGGCCTGCAGGAAGGAACAGAAGGAAAACACGTTTAAAAAACTCCAGAGGGAGATAAAGAGAGTCTGGTGGATCTATTCCAACCTGGCTGCTATTTACAGCCACCTTGCAAAACTCTACTCACTCACTTGCTTGGGGTAATGTATTTTTTGATGGGCAAGTAAAATATAATTTTTTTCCATTACTGCCTAACTAGATGATTACAAAACACCCAATCAGCGTGGTATCTAGGTTATAATATTAACCTATCATCAATCTCACTATGGTAATGGAGTGGAAACAAGAGGACTGTGTCTCTGAGCTGGTATATTTTCATGATAATTTTGCAAGGTTGATTAACATATAGCACATCCCTTTAATCAACAGGGCATGATACTGCAACATGAGCAATCCTTACCCGTGTCAGTAGTCCCACTGATGCATGGGTTTTCATTTGATCCTTATTCACTTATAAGTAACACTCTATTCAAGTGAGGCTTTCAACGTACTGTGCAAATAAATACAGGGCATAATACAGACAATAGCAATTCTGGGCTCCTGCTAATTTTTAAACTTTGCTAAGCATCATAGAATCACAGAATTGAAGGACTAGAAGGGACCTCGAGATGTTTTCTAGTCCAGTCCCCTGCATTCAAGGCAGGACTAAATATTCTCTAGACCATCCCTGACAGGTGTTTGTCTAACCTGCTCTTAAAAATCTCCAATGATGGAGATTCCACAACGTCCCTAGGCAATTTATTTCAGTGCTTAATTACCCTGACAATTAGGAAGTTTCTCCTAATGTCCAACCTAAACTGCTAAACTTGCTGCAATTTAAGCCCATTGCTTCTTGGCTTATCCTCAGAGGTTAACGAGAACAGTTTTTCTCCCTACTCCTTATAACAATCTTTTATGTACTTGAAAACTTATCATGCCCCCCTAGGTCTTCTCTTCTCCAAACTAAACAACCCCCCCCCCCTTTTTTTTTTTTTCAATCTTCCCTCACAGGTCATGTTTACTAGCCCTTTAATCATTTTTGTTGCTTTTCTCTGGATTCTCTCCAATTCGTCCATATCTTTCCCGCAATGTGGTGTCCAGAACCGGACACAATACTCCAGATGAGCCCTAATCAACGTGGAGTAGAGCAGAGGAATTACTTCTTGTGTCTTGCTTACAAAACTCCTGCTAATACATCCCAGAATGATGTTTCCAACAAACAAAATGAAAACAATGGAACATTTTGCAAGAAAAATAAAGCAATGTGTTTTTTTCACACTGTACAGGATGTACCTCCCTTCACTTGGATGAGCCTTGAGGGCTCTCTGTCATCACAATTCCCTGTGCGCCATAGTTTTAAAAGGTATTTACCTACCTTATTTCTCCCTTCATTTTCTACAAAGATAAATGAAATATCCTTAGTCTTACACAGTGTTTATGATTTATAATCTTAACATGTTTCCATGTAACCTGTGTTATTATTTGACAGTGATGAGCATTAGTCTGTTAGCTACTCTCTGTTTCACCTCATGCTTCTAATGTGCCAACTTCCAGGAATTATCAGATGACAATACACTAATCAGACAATGCTATTAAATAATGGGGAACTTCCCTAGCCTCCTTCCACACCCCATAACATTGCTTCTTGTTATTACTTTGCATCTCACAGCTGGAGAAAGTTCAGACACACAGGCCTGGAAAGTTCTTTCTTTTGCTGAAGGAGAAATACTATCATTGCTAGGACTAACAAGAAATTTCACTTTATTATTAGAGCATTCTTTGAAACTAATTCCTATTATTACCAAGGCTACTATTAGTTAATTATAAGGTTATAATACCTTATATGCCAGGATATTAAAGTACTTTACAAACCTCACAACAGCCTCATTAACTCAATGTGTGACTTTGGGCAAGTTACAACCACTCTCTGCCTCAGTTAACTGTGTAGAGATAATAATCCTGATCTATTGCATAGGGCCATGTATTGGTGCACTGTTTAAGGTGAAATCCCCAAGTAAATTCTGCCTAATAACCAATGCACGGGATGACCCAGAGGCTTAACAGAGAGGAAAATTAATGGTGTTGTGGTTAAGTTATTTGAGAGATCTGGGGGTCTGCTCCTGGGTCTATCAGGGGCATCCTATATGACCCTAAACAAGTCACCTCCCCAGTCTTTGCTACAGCTTCCCATCTGTAAAATGGGAATAATAATTCCCTACTTCACAAGAGTGTTATAGGAACAAATTTAGTAAAGTGCTCAGGTACTATCATGACAAACATTACAGAAAAAGCCCATAACATACAATTAATTCAAGTTTCTAAAGTGCTTTGAGATCCTTGGGTGAAAGACAATACATAGATGCAAAGCATTATTATTCTCATCTTATTATGAATTATTCTTAATCTTGTGATGAAGTTCTAGATAAACATACACATGGCAGTATATGTAACAATGTGCTTCCACATACTATACTGCTTTTAAGTGATTTTTTTAAATAAAAATATTGTGAATGGACAAATTACAAAACGTAGAACTTGGTATATTCATGTATTAGATATTGCAGTATCAACAACATTCTATATATTATTTTTGATTGTATTTTTAAAAATACGATCTCTTCTTGAATACCTTTAATTGGAACATTACTGAATATTCTAAAATCTTTCCCTAAGGCCCTGTTCCTGCAAACTCTTATGCACCTACTTAATTTTACTCAGATGAGTAGCCCCACTGAAGTCAACTGAACTACATCTTCCTACTGTATTTTCCACTACATGCATCCGATGAAGTGGGCTGTAGCCCACAAAAGTTTATGCTCAAATAAATGTGTTAGTCTCTAAGGTGCCACAAGTACTCCTGTTCTTTTTACCTACTTAAGAGTAAGTACATTCGTAAGTATAAGTGTCAGAGCATTAAAACCTGATTTCTGAATCTGCTCTACCCTGCCCTGCCCATGAATACTCCCCCTTTTCATGGTATTATGCTGGGGTATAGTTAAGATACTGGCTTTATGTCTGAGCCTTGTCATAGAGGAAGAGTTGTTATTCTCTCCCATGAAACAATCAGCAGGTTAATCTGAGATATGCTTCAACAGCTGAGCTGACCGGGTCATTTAACAGCAACAGCTTGTTCTCATTTGCATGCTGCTGTGCCCATCATGTAAACATAAATGACTTTTAATGGGTCTATGCTCTTAGATAAGATTAACACTGACACTGGAGCAGCTGTGGGAGGGGGTGTTGTAAGATGAAATGTAAACTTTTAAGAGTATTACATTTTTAATGGCATAACCATCCATTCAGCAAAAGGTCGATAATCCGTTGGTTTTTCTGGATGCCATTTAACTCTTGCAATGAAATAATATTTGACATTTTCCAGTGCCACCTGACTTGTTAGGTACAGTAAAAAAGGTTGCTAGGGTGTTTCACAGCTCCACAACTTTCTAGGTTTGAGCTGATCTAAAAAAATAAGTTTCATCTTCTGACTTGAAACTTCCAAACTACTGAAACAACTGTCTTTTTATTTATCTCACTGAGACTTCAAAAAATATCAAGCCAAGTCTGAAGCACATATATATTGTAGTTTATTGCATACATGGCTGTCTTATATTATACTGTACATGGTAACAATTTGAAAAATAATTTATAATGTTATGAAGAGAGACCTCTATTAAGGTATAAGCTCAAGGAATGGAGTTAATGTCACGCTTCCAGCTGTAGCTTCAAAGGAACCACTCACTCTTAAAGTTCAGCAAGTGCTTAAGTGATTTCATGACTAGGGCCTAACTCTGAAATTGTAGACTTTTAGGTGCTTGATCTCTCAGGGAAGGTCTACTTAAAACACGGCAATGGTGCAGCTGTGCTGCTGTAGCGCTTCAGTGAAGACACTACTATGCCAATGGGAGAGTGTCTCCCGTCGGCATAGTCTATCAACCTCTGCAAGAGGCTGTAGCTATGTCAACGGGAGAAGCCCTCCCGTCAACATAGCACTGTTTACACATGGTTTAGATTTTTCACATCCCTGAATGACATAGTTATAGAGATGTAAGTTTATAGTGGAGACCTGGCCTCAGCCTTAACATTGTATTAATGCTAGTTTTCTGCAAGGATATAACAAATTATGTTTCACATATCTATAGCACCTTTCTTCCCCAAAGGTGCTGGATCTGTGTGGAGGAAGGCCCACTGAAATCATTAAAGTTCAGAACAGGTGCAAGGTTCTATTCACACGGATCTAACTAATATGGGCCTAAATTCATCCACCTCCACAAATTACAACTGCCACAGGGATAGAAACGATCAACCAGCTGATGCACAGTACCTTGCACAAAAAAGAGGGAGAATGGAAATTTTCCCCAGGAACTGTTAGGCAACTTCCCCCTCTTACTATAGTACGTTTAATGCACATTACAGACCCTACAGGACATAGAGTGAAAATTGTTAATCTCAGTGTTTAATGCTAAGCACTTAAATCTGTATTTAGGCACCTTCACCTGAAAGTTTAAAGTTCCTAACTATGGATTTGGATACCTAACTTTATGCACCGTATTTTGAAGATTTGGGCCTTTTTTTTTTTTTTAAAAAGATCTGTTACTGCAAGGAAGTATCTACCACAGAAGGATGAAAAGCTGAGTCAACCCTTTCTGGATTTGATACTGTGGTTCTAGGAATTTCAACGCAGAGGCTTAGAAGACCATCCCATCTGGCTGGCTCAGTGCCAGTCTGGATCCAGGCTCTCACAACACAAAAACCCTCACCACCATTGGCACCCTTTACCATGGTGTCAGGCTAAAGATCTGAATGTCATTGAAAATTGAGTCCCCTTCTGCCCTTTCAGACATTTCCCTGCTAGCAAAGGTAGATGGGGGAAATGCATGTGCACATATATAAAGTGCTGCCCATGATGATCCCATTCTGTGGGTAAATGGAGGCATCAGTCTCCAAGGCAATCAAGCTGGCACATTTTATTCTCTCTCTATATAAAGGGTGCTCATGATGAAAATGCTGTAATTACCTCCTATAACACCAATTCTACTAGAATCACACTAGATTAGGTCCAGTGTTAATATATTTATTTGTGATCTGGAAAGGGAGGTAAACAGTGAGATAGCAAAATTTGCAGATGACACACAATTATTTAAGTTAGTCAGGTCCAGAGAGGCTTGTGAGGGACTTCAGAGGGACCCAAACAAGCTTGGTGAATGGGCAACACAACGGCAAACAAAGTTCAATGTAGATAAATGAAAAGTAATGCACATTGGAGGGGAAAATTATACTCCTCATACACCTTGCAAGATTCTAAATTAAGACCAACAGTTCAGGAAAGGGATCTGGGTGACACTGTGGCCAATGAAGACCTTGGCTCGGTGTGCAGCTATGGCCAAAAAAATCAAACACTATGTTAGGACGCATAAGGATTGAGATGGAGAATACAGAGAGTATTACAATGTCATTCTGTAAATCAATGAAGTGGTCTCATCTATAATACCATGTGCAGTATTGGTAACCCCTCCCCCCCCCCCCAAAAAAAAAAAAAAAAGCTAATCCAGAATTGGAAGGAGTTCAGATAAGAGTGATGAGAATGATCAGTGACCTGGAAAAACTCTCAACTGAAAAGAGATTAACAAGACTTGGATTATGTACCGTACAAATAAAGAGGGGACATGATAAAACTGTATAAAATAATGACGGTAGATCAGGAGTTAACAACATTTTGCAGAGATATTAAACCTCATGCTTTTTCTAATTTAAGAGATTAGGAGATCTAATGGCGGGGGAGGGGCAGATATTCCCACATGTACCTAATATGAGGTTTCTTGCACCTTCCTCTGAAGCAACTGCTGCTGGCCACTATCAGACGGGATACTAGACTAGATGGGCTGTGGGTGATCCAGTCTGGCAATGCGTATATTCCTATAAATATATACATATACAGACATACACCATTATATGTACACACGGACACCAAAGAACACATTATACGCACACACATATTTGGCAGAGCACACTCACACCATCAAAGAAGGTTCTGCGAGATGAGCAAACAGTTTGGTGCAGCCACAAACCAGAACATAGTACTGGACAGAACGAAATTTCCTAGCAGTAGCCTGATATCAGAGTGGCACAGGAGCAATAAGCTACTGCAATATCCATCCAGAGAACAAGCAGATGTGGGCAGGGCCACCTCCCTTAGAGAAGGTTAACACACAATACCCCCCCTCCCCCAACACACACACCTTGCCAAATCTACTACTTCAAGGCCCTGCCCATTACCTTCCTCCATATCCCTTTGCTCCTATCTCTTCCTCCCCACTCTTTTTCATTCTTTCTGTGGCCCTTGCCCTCCTCCCAACTATGGGGAGATATGACTGAGGTCTATAAAACCATGAGTGGGGTGGAGAAAGTGAATAGGGAAGTGTTATTTACCCCTTCACGTAACATAAGAACCAGGGGTCACCAGATGAAATTAAGAGGCCACAGGTTTAAAACAAACATAAGGAAGTACTTCTTTACACAACGCACAGTCAACCTGTGGAACTCCTTGCCAGGGGACATTGTGAAGGCCAAAAGCATAACTGGGTTCAAAAAGAGAATTTGATAAATTAGTGAAAGGGAGTGGTGTGTAGTTTGAGAGCCTACCTCTCTGACTAAGGGTATGTCTACACTACCTGCCGGATCAACCCCCGAGCCCTCTCCCTTTGACTCCTGTACTCCACCGCCGCGAGAGGCGCCAGCAGAGTCGACGGGGGAGCGGCAGCAGTCGACTCACCGTGGTGAAGGTAAGTCGATCTAAGTACGTTGACTTCAGCTACATTATTCAGCTGAAGTTACGTAGATCGATCCCCCTCAGTGTAGACCAGGGCTATGAGAAGTTGGGCCCATAAGAGATATTACTTCACCCACTGTGTCTCGCTGATATCCTGGGACGGACACAGCTCCAACAACACTGCATACATAGAGGACTGGTCCACAAATGAGACACAAGGTAGGTGAGATAATATCTTTTAGGGGCCCAACTTCTCTTGGTGAAAGAGATACGCAGAGCTCTTCTTCGGGTCTGGGGAAGGTCCTGGGCCTGTCCCAGCTCCACCCAGGCGGAAGAGGCTGTTTCGCGTAAGGGGTAACACACACACTACCGGACCGTTCAAGGCGGAGTGGTCAGTTAACAACACGGCAAAGGCCCATTCGCCAAGCGGGGCAGGGACGCAGCCCCATGCCCCGGGGTCCCTCGCCCCGCACCGCCAGGAGCTGGGACAGGCCGACAGGGGGATGGGTCACTGGGCGATCACCCTATTCTCTCCCTCGGGGGCACCGGCCACAGGGCTCGCCCCCCCC